GGCTGGGAGGTGGGAGGAGGGAGGACAGGGGAATCCGTGGCTGATATGTAAAATTAAATTAATTATAAAATAAAAATATTTTTTAAAAAGTTGTGGGGGTAACCAATCACTATCAGATTGGAATTACAGCCCATTCTATGAGATGGAACCCATGTCTGACACAGGTTAGGTGTCCAAGAATCTGAGACTAGATAACCATTAAAGTGCTATAACAATAAAATGGCTGATAATAACAAAAAAATGGATCCAAGTAGCAGCAAGTCTCAGGAAATAAAGGAAAATTGAAACAGCATCCTGTATTCTATCTGACCACCATGGGATAAAATTAGAAATAAAAAGCAATAGGAACTTTAGAAAATATAAATAAGTCATGGAGACTGAACAACACATCATGGGATGAATAGATCAATGAAGAAATCAAGGAAATAAAGACATTCCTAGAATGAAATTCCTAAATGAAAAAGAGAAAACACAACATATTCAAATCTATGGGATACAGGGAAGGCAGGTCTAAAAGGATGTTCATAGCTCTAAGAGCCTACATTAAATTTAGTTTACCGAAGAGAACTCAGCCTCATGATGAGCCTCAAGACACTGGAAAAACAAGAATAAACTAACAGCAGTAGACAAAGAGAGACAACCCATATCTGGGTAGAAATTAATTAGGTAGAAATGAAAACAAGTACAAAGAATCAATGAGTCAAAGCAAATATAAACAAAATTCACAGACCCTTAGCCAAATTCATCAAAAGAAAGAGAAGTTACAAAGTAATAACATGAGAGATGAAAAGGAAGAACAATTCAGCAGCTAGAAAGGACAAAGTAAGTAAGGTAGAATAAGGACAAAGTTTAGCAAGTGAATCTTTGAGACCATGTGGTCTACATAGACAGTTCCTAACCAGCCAGGCCTACATAGTGGGATTATGTCTCAGGAAAAACAAACAAACAAACAAACAAACAAACCCAAAACTCCTAAGAAAAGCCTAGGATCAGATAGATTCAGTAAAGAATTTCACTCAATATTCAAAGAAAAATGAGCATTCCTCAAATTATTGCATAAAACAGAAAAAGAAGGAACATTTCCAAACACTTTCTATGAAGCCTGTATTTTCCTGCTACCAAAACCAGATAAAGGGGGTGGGGGGAACTATGGGCCAATCTCCC